GAAAGGTAACAAGAGAAAAAACACTAGCGGATTGCCAAAACGCACAACAAACTGAAGGACTAGGACCGCAGTAGTTTCGGGCAAATGGCAGCGCATTCACAATGTCATACATTCGAGAACGCGCATGAGACGATGTGATTAAAGAGAGAATGAATCTAGTCGAATAGTTCTCTTAAAAAATTAGGCTCTGGCTTTGGCCGGTTTGGTTTTCGCGGGTGACTCCATCGGATTGGACATCATTAACATATCGAAGGAGTCGACTGAATCACCACGTAGTCCGGCTGATGCAACTGGATCATCTGATAACAGAAGATGGGGGTGTTCGCTCAGAAGTTGAGACACTCTTGACAAGAACCGCCCGGCCACAACCTCGCTGACAAAGCGAGAATCAACAGAGAGTGTGAGCGTGACATGATTGGAGAATAAAACGCGGTTTTGAGCATCGAACGAGACAGCTTTTGGACGTCCGGTACCGACGGCTACAATAGCCACTTGTGGTGGATTGATGACAGCGGTAAATTCACTGATACCAAACATGCCCAGGTTGGAAATGCTGTCGGAGAAAAGATTGAACGGATAAAAACAGGAAAATTCACTTCACTTTGAAACCGAGTAGCACCAGACAGCAACCAAAACCGGCGCACGAAAGTGCACGGTTAATGGGTGCAAAAACTGAACGAGTAGCATCAGATTAAGACAGGTTGAAGCGGTTGTGAACTGAGATTGAATGGCCAGTGAAAGCGAGATTTTATAAGCACTCGGGAAACAATATCCACTCTAGTTAACATTGAAAGTAGTACAAAAATATGATAAATAATTTGGTCTAAATCGGGTTAAGAAGAGGTACCACGCGCGTCACCGGGTGGTGGATAGGGGGATACCTTCACAGAAGAAGGTTAGCTGTGAATAAGTTGTGGCATACCGCAACAAATAAGCAGTCGCGAACAAAAAGCGGCGGCACTACCAGGGTGTGGTGGGTTTCAGGTTAGTCACCTGGCTCCTGATTAAAAGCCGCATAAGTAAAATGACGGTGTCGTGACAAAGGTCGATGTGACTGGCCTTTTGAAACCAAGGTCATTGACCCCCTCACTTCTGGGATGAGGGATTACTTCCTGTTGCCTTGCAGTTTGCACTTGGTTGTGCAAAGGCTAGAGGTGCGCCCTCAAAATAAAAAAGACAGAGTGACTCTGGGGATGTCTATTGTACCAAACTTCCAAGGAACTCCATGATCATGTCTGGAGCTGGCTTATCTTTTCCAAGGAGCCAGCCGCAGTAAAGTAAACAAGTAATAACAATATTGCGTCGGACAACAGAACTAAGTATCACTGATGCTGTTTAGCAGAGTTTCGTCGTTCACTATACTGGCGACATAACTCGACCGTGACCAGTAACAACCGAAAGCAGACACAACAGAACCGGATGGAGAAGGACAATGAATACGGTGATCGAAATATCGGTTTGAGTGGAAAATCCTAGGACCAACACGTGATAAAGCTATGTGCGTACAATTTATCTCAAGGGACTTGGAGAACTGGCTATTTCTGATTCAGTTGAAGAAGACGAAAAGAAGATAAATACTGCGAATTACTATCAATTCAATGCATTTTTTCAACTACCCAGATAAAATTATCTGAAACTCAAAAAGATGGTACGATGTATGCTCGGACTATAAACGTGAACAATAACAAAAGTTTTCGTGGATTACTATCCATGTTAAACGAAAGAAATGAGAAGGACGTACGTGAACGAGCCACCTTGGAATTCATGCGGCTGTAGCTTTCCATCTCGAGCCTTTTTGGCCAATGCCACAGCCATTTTTGAAAGCTCACTGATTGGAGTGGTGTCCGCATTACGCAAAATGGGCGTTATTAAACCAGCCGGAGTGGCGACCGCCATGGAAATATCCACTGTGTTATGCAGCACTCGGGAATTAGTAGCATCGTCACATGTAGCATTCATCTCTGGTACCATCTGCATATTTGTTTAAATTAGAAAAAATGAAGACGAATGCGGATTAACTATCATCTCCACGTGTATGGATACACGGTAAAATATTAACAGAAAACGGTTGAACTAATTGCACACCGGATTCTTCTGACTTAGGAAGTTATTTTTTAAAAGACGTTCTGTTTGATACATAGATGTACACTTCGGTACAGTTTGCAAGTAAAGGCGGAAATACCATTATTACNCCCTCAGCCCCAAGGCACAAGCCTTGACAATCATATCGTTCACAGACACCTTAAGACCGGTTCGAGACTTGAGATCTTTGCGCAAAGCCATCACGCGGTCCAGCGAGGCAACCCCCCGAACATATGTGTGGGGGATGGAAGATTTGGAAAAGGTTAAGCGTTTGGCAATGGTCTGACGCATATTTGTTAGCGGGATATCCTTGAATGTAGTGGCTGTT